CTCTCGCCAAGATGCTTTGCCTGAAAGTCTTACAGTTAATGGAATTTCATTTTACCCTGAAATGTGTAGGTCCTTATGGGTCCTTAACAAATCTCTTCCTAGAACAAAAGTCTCTTCTTAAACTTGTTTAATCTTCCTTTGTCATTGGCCTCCCAGCTCCCATCCTAAGAGTCATCGTCTTTGAGAAGTCAAGATCTGTTACTCCTTTAAAGTTATAGTCACTAGTCATAGAGTTGTTTCTTAATTTCCTCTTAAATGCTCTACCCACCTTCTTTTGGTTTTGCTTTGCTGTTGCCATCACAGTGTGAATTCCCGTCACCTTCTGGTTTTAGTGACCACAGGAGGGAGAGGTCTCTTACGTTCTGTCCTGTCAGAAGTGGAACTCGCAGGCCGCGCAGATGCGAAAAGTGGAAATATTGGCACCACAGTCGGCACTGAGCAACATGTATCATTATCCAGAGCCGCCATTGCTCTGGGGACCATTTCTTTGCTTTTTTGTAAATCTTTGTCCAGCCCGGTGCTGGTGACCGTACGGTGCTGTCTAATGTTGGGACTGCCCAGGCCCGGTGACCTCTGTGCCCCTTCATATTTTAATCCTTAGATTTTCTACAGGAGAAAAATGAAAACGTACATGCAGGATCCATTTCAATTTTACCCACCCAGAAAGGAGAAAGGCAGAAAAAGTAAAGGTCTGTTTACACCAACAGCTTCTAGATGCAGCTTCGGCCAACAATGGACTGAATATTTATCGGGATTAGCTATAGCCCCTGGGCAGGGGCAAAGGGCATCTGTGCTGGGTGCTGATGGTGTTAAATGAGGATGTGGTGAGAGCGACGCCCCCACTGGCTGTCACTTCGGCTCCTCCAACCAACTTGTGACCGAAAGTATTAACCAGAAAGAAATCATTGTTTTGGACAACGTTTCCTTCCCGCCACTTCCTTAACTCCATTTCTGGTGGAGGGAGGATTTTCCACATCAGATGACTCAAGTGCAGGCAGCTGAGGTCAAGACGGGAGTGCCGGGTGGCCCCAGAGCAGCCCCTGTTCTGGACGGTTAAAAGCCGAAGTTGCCAGACCAATGTGCTTCGGAGTCGACCGCGCTGTAAACGCTCATCGGTCCTTATGTTGTCTCCCCAGAAGGAACAGCCCGGTGCATGCTGAGGGGGGCTCCTCCCGGGTCCCCTGCGCCCCCCAGCCTCTCCCTCCTTGGGGTCACTGCAGGGCCCGCATAGCCCTGCTGAGAGCAGATGGGCAGCGGAGTCTGCAGCCATGGGGCGGACGGGAGAAGGGGAGGGGAAGGGGCTCGGGAACCGTCTCCTCGCAAGCCAAAAGTGCCACGCGCCGTGTCTTCTGTGAGGACGGTTAGAGGTGGCCGACGTCACTGGAGGTCTGTCCTGCCGAAGCAAGCGCATCCCATGAGGCTGTGAGCTGGGTGTCCTGCCCTGTCCGCTTCCCAGAACATGGAGGCCAGTGCAGGAGGCAGCCGGGTTGATAGGCGGGTGTCCTGTGACCTTGAACTTCCCAACTCTGCTGAGGTCTAGGATCACCTAGCGACCTGTCACCCCACCTCCTCCGAACCGCAGCAGCCCCACTCTCCGTGGACGTGTCTGCTGTGACGGCCTCCACAGAAGACCCCTCCCTGCCAGGTCAGCCCGCAGTCTCTCTGGCCCCTCACAGACCACCGGGGCTGTCCCTCTGCACCCCTCAGGTCTCCTGAGATTTGCAGCCGTAGCCAGCTTTGTGGACCATGGCGTCCCAAGGGCCTGGCTCGTCACTAGTGACCGTAATTGAGGGACAGAGGGCTCCGTCATTGTGTGTGGCAAGAAGGGTGACAGCCCGGGGCCGGTTACGGCCAAGTGTAACTCACCGTGCCTGGGATCTCTGCTCTCCCTCATGTTTGCCCTCCGCCACCACACCTCTGGGTTATTTTAACAATAAACGATGTGTCGTTTGCCACCCTTGAATTTATATTCACGCCGCAGCCTCAGAACAAAATCTGATTGCATCACTCGTGATTAAAACCTGTTAGCGACTTGTCATTATCCTTAGAAAAAATGACTCAAATTCCGAATAAGCTTCAAAAGACCCTGAAAGGTGCTCCCCACATCAGCCCCCCGCCGCCTGCCCCCTCCCCCCCTTGAGCCTCATCTCATCATTCTCCGCCTTCCCGACTGGCCCCTTTCTATTCCCTGTTGTCCTTTAGTGGAGGCGAGTTCCTGCTCCTGCAGGCCTTGACTCTAGACTCTCGCCTGCTCCTGCCGCCCCCTCCCCTGGTTCCCAAGGGTATGACTTGTGTTCTCCCCCACCCCACCCTGGTGCCCTGCCCCAGACTGAGTTGATAGATAACGCTGCTTTCTCTTCTTTCAGTAGAGGCCCCCTCTTGTGGCTCTGGTTATCCCCAACATGAACGGACCAAATTGCCGGCCACACAGAGTCAAGTAATAGTAGCTTCTACAGCCAGAGTCAAGTGCCACGCAGGCCCCTGGCCTCACCCTGACCCTGTGCTGTCGGGCCAAACCGCGGTGTTTCCTGTGTCGACTGTCTACTCATCGCGGGGATGGCACTGTCGTCTTCAACAGTCACCCATGAGTTTTAGAGGGGTGTGCTCATAGGTACCCAAGGTGTCTGGAGTTCCTCACTGAAAGGCCCTCACCCACATACTTAAAACCATCTCTAGGTTATTGCTAATACCTAACCCAGTGCCAGTGCCACATAAATAGTGCTCTTCTGTATGGTTTGAAGAACTGATGACAAGGAGAAAGTCTGTTTGTTGTCCATACAAACACCATGGTGTCAGCACAGTCTGAATTTGCACATGGTGTTGGTTGAATGCGAAGATGTGGATCCGGATGTACAAAGGGGACCCCAATGTACAAAGGGCCGGGGTGTAGAAGTTTAATTCTACCCCCTTAAAAGTTCCTTGTTTCTAAACCATTTTCTTTAGGGATGAATTCAGAAATTAGCTTCCTGATGTGACCCTGAAGTCAAACTGACCCTTCAAAATCAGGTCAACTTTTTCTTCATTGATTTTGTACAAGAAAACGACAGTCTGAGGGCGCCCATGAGGAAACGCTGAGGAGCAAACGCCTCCCTCTGAGCTAGGCAGACACATGGATGGACAACAGCTGGTGTGTGATGAGCACTTGCTTTTTTCTCTGTCAGCCGAGGGAAGGAGCAGGCTGTGTAGGAACCCAAGGTGGTTTCAGGTGGGAATGGCAGCAGTTTCTGGAGCAAGGCCAAGGCGCGGCCCTGCCAGGTCAGGGCTGGTGGGGGATGCAGGGGGTGAAGGGGGTGATTAAGAGTATCATGCAAGGACATAGTCTGAGCTTGTAAGTGGGCACATTTTAGGGTTGGCCATGAAGTCCCGTCTCTCTCTGGAGGATAAAGGCCCACCGTAGGCTGCTGCGTAGAAATCTGCTCTCAGGACCAGGCATCGGTTTCCATGGCCGCGGCCAAGGCCCACAGGGTTCACCACGGGTTTTAACATGGCCGCCGGCAGGCAAGATGGCGTCCGCTCGGCTAACGCGAGCTCCCCACCGGGTGCTACCGGAAGCGCATTCCACGGAGGGCAGCTGAACCGGTCTTCACAGCAAGGCCATGAGTGTGGATGCTGTTCGCACGGAAGTGTACCGGGAAGACATGGAGGCTCGGAGAGGTTAAATAGCTCCTGCGAGGTCACACAGCCTCGTGGTGGAGCTGGGATTTGAGCTGCCTTTTCTCCAGCACACGCCCTCGTCACCAGGCTGACGCCTTGTCCTTGAAGGTGCTTTGTATCACTTGCAGGCTGTGAGACATTTGGTCCAAAACAACACGTCTTCTCCCCATCAGCTGCCAGCCTAGGGCCGGTTCATGTTTTACGCCTTTTAAAATTGTTTTATATTCAAAATAGAAGCAAAAAGCGTGTTATACAAGGTCTGACTTACTCTCGCCTAACAGTCCTATAAAACTCACTCATTATATGCTTTATTTTTAAAACGTTTGCATTTTTTATCTTAATACTCCCTTTTTAATATTTAATGTATTTAATGGTAGTAACCACAGCTTCTGGCAGGATCAGCCAATCGGGGCGCCGGTGGGGGGCGTGGTGCTGGACGGGGGAGCAGGGTGGTTCAACCCCCTCGGAGTCCCCCAGCAGCGGCATCTCCACAGACTAGGCTCCAGCGGGCAGGCTCACCTTGCCTCCTGCGCCCCCACTGGGTGGCCAGGGCCCCTGTACCCCTCATTCCTTCCCCCTCCAGCCGCAGAGGCTGTGGTCTTTGGCTGTTGTCTCGGGCGGCGTTTCTGCCCCTGTGAGTCCATCCCGGGTTCAGCACCCCCCCACCCCTACCCCCCCGTCTCAGGCCATATTCACCCGCAGTCTGCTTTGGCGGCGTTGAAGCTGGTGCTGGGATCGGGTTCAAGCCCTCACGTTAAAAGCATCCGAACCTTAGCGTTTGCTGTGGCATTAGGGGCGACCCTGGCTGGTGTCAGGGGTCCCTGATAGTTCTAGCCAGTTACCAGGGGAACTGGGACCGCGAATGCCTGGACCTTGGTCTCATGGAAAAGGAAGGTGCTCGCTCCTGGGGTCCTCTCTGGCTTCCCGGCATGCTGGCATTACCCCGTTGACAGCCAGCACGGTTCCGGGGTGCAGTCTCAGCCACTGAGGGGTCAGGTGACAGTGTCTGGGGCCGTCCACTGATGCCCCCGGTCCCACGTCGTGTGCACTGGTTTGGGACCCGCATTCAGGTGACAGCGGCTCAGCTTCCTGCCTGGGTCTGGCTGCGTTTAAAGATGTTGGGTTTTAGTTTCACCTTAAATAGGAAAAGCCAAGAGGCGGAAGGAAGAGAGCTTTGTCTGGCGTGATGCTTTCACATTTTAAGGACAGGCTTCTTACACTAGCTAACACTGTTAAAACATAAAAGGCCTCCAGTATGCGGGGAGGGGGCGGCTTGGGGGCCAGATTCGCTGGGTCTCTTTAATAACCTTCATTTACTAAACCTCCCCCCTCCTCCCCCACCCCAGCCCTTTCTTTTCAGAAGATACCTTTAGACAATCACCGTTCACCTGCAATTCGAAAGACCTGCTGTCCAGCGAGTCGGTGCTTCCCGGACGAATATCCACTCCAGGTATGGAAACAGTGCTGACTCTGTTTCTGCTGCCGGTTGCTTAAAGATGACTCTCTTGCGATGTGCGAATTGGCAGATACTCTCGTGTATGTTAGTCATTCATACAAGGCGAGGTTTTTTAAGGAGAGGCTCAGTTGAAGCAGCCCTAGGTCTTTGCTGCTCTGGGAGCTTGTTGTTTTGTACCTGCTGATGTTTCATCTGTGTTGTGAACGTTTCTTTCTTTGAAATGGTGATGTCTGTCCACGGCCATACCACCCTGAACGCGCCCGCTCTCGTCTGAAATGGTGATGTCTAACCCACTCAGGCTGTGGGACAGGGAGTTCTGGGATGCGGGTGCTGGGAACACGCATCGCCAGCGGCAGGGTCACCACCCGTGGGGGAAGGGTGGGCAGCCAAGAGACACCCCGGGCTCCCCGGAAGCATCACAGCTCATGGGGACGATCTTGTGGCCTCTCAGAGTGTCTACGCAGACTCATCCAGAGCTGCCTTTACCATCGCAGCTTCAGGACAGACGCTGTCCTCACTGTGCGTCTTCAGCTCTCTGGAATAAAAGGAAAACGTGTTTGCAGTCCCTTATCAAGAGCGTGACCACCCTCACATCTGTAACCCTTTCTGCCTCCTGGCCCCCACCCCCACCCCAAAGCCAGCCCTGCAGTCTTGGCTTCCTTCCCAGCTGTCCAGGAACTCCAGAGGCTCTCTCTGGCCCCGCACCTATGCATTTTTCCAGGAGGCCAAGGGTACGTGTGTGTAGGGTTGTTTATAGCAAGTGGGTGGCCAGGACACCCTGCAAGAGTAAATCCAGGGCCTCCCCACACCCCAGGCCTCTGTGTCACAGATCCTGGGAGTGTCAGGGGAACCCTCATCACAGCAGGCAGCGGTGCCATGCAGCTGACAGTGAGAGGGGTGGGCGAGGACCACCAAGACTAGGCCCAGGAGACCACCGGCCTGCAGTCCCTGGCGTGGTCCGGCTGCAGGTGAGGGCCGCTCTGCAGAGGGACGGTCTGGGTGGCGTTCACCAAAATCAGGAGCAGGCCTCGGAGAGCCCAGGGCATGCCAGCAAATTGGTTTAATTCGGCTTCTGTAATTATGCTGGCTTCGCAAGTATGTTATCAGGACCACCCGTTCATTTTAATTTGGGCTGATTTCTGAGGCAGCCAGGCTCTTACTTACCCCTGTCTCTGTTTATCAGTGTCTTTGTAAGCAAGTGGCTCCTATTTTAATTGATAACCCAACTCTCTGTCTCAGCTGCCCCCACCCACCCCCTCATCGGCCAGGGTCATTACAGTAGCAACACTCAGAACTTGGACTAGGGATAAAAGCACTTCGCAACTTAGAAAGAGTCGGGAGCATGTGATGAAATAGTAGCTTGGGGTGTCCTAGTCTTTGGAAGGGGCTTGTGACAGATAGCTGGAAAAGGCACTGCTTTGGCACCCTTTCGTCTCGTGATAGCCAGATCTGTTTCTTCTCATCTCCAAAGAGTCTGGGTACCTGCGTGTCCCTCTATTCAAACCCCATAAATAACATGCTTACACAAAAACACATTACATAATCCTGGTTCTAAGGGTGGAAAGAAATTCTGCTTAGTTGATGTCTTCATTCTCAAGCGGGGCTATTTGAACCACTGTTTACGTCCCATGGTGTCATCTTCAATAGCTGCCTCCCTGGTCCCCACATTATCGCCCTGCTGTTAAGTTGATGGATTGTGACTTTCTAATGTTAAAATAACTGCCTAGGAATTGCCTGTCCGACTGCTGTGACCCACACAGCCAGCATCCCGTGATGTATGTACAAAGCCTGCATTGGCTTAATGCTTGGCCTGGCTGTATTTTAAGAAGGGCTTATTGGTCAAGTTATAGTGCGACCTCAAAGACTGTTATCAGTATATGTTTAACTGTGCTTAAAGGGTGTTTTTTTTTTTTTCCCCGGGCAACTTGCTTGTTAGACTTAAAAATTGCAGATTAAATAAACTCACACTTAAAAGGATAACTTCTTTTGGGGAGGAGGTCAGTATTAACTGGGATTTTTGAAATATAAATCCACTCTGTTGAAGGGTCCTCGGTCTCTTGTACTTCAAAAAAGGCAGAGGATAAGCAAAATGACCGTATTTACATTTTGCTAAATAAACAACTTGAAAAGGACTTTTAAAAAAACAAGCAAGGTGAAAATGCTTTGGAGAGGGACTAGAATTAGAAAAGCTAAGTGATAAGAAAACTTTGCGATCGGGAAATTCTATAACCCAAAAGCAAGGTTGGTTAGGAAGCCTCCGTGATTTGGACGGGTAGGGGAGAATGCCAGTGACCAGGAACACAAGATTCCAGGGTGGCAACTTTTCAGAAAATATTTCTTTCAAGTCTAGAAGGTGATAAATGACAAATATAGACCACCTACTGCTTCCTTATCCACAACTCTGAAACCCAAGGACCTCTACTAACCAACAATCTTTTGAGTCAGTTACTGGGTGATGAAACCTAGTGGGCTACTTCCAGTCTATGTCCTTCATCGAAGGTGAAGGTCATACATCTCCTCGCAGAATAGCTGTGGCTGATTATGCAGGTGTACTGGAGTGTTTCGTAGACTGTGTCTTAGTAGAATATTACCCCGAAGTCAGGCAAATGTGAACTCCAAGGGCCTCAGCTCTGCTAAAATAACTCACTGAGAGCAAGGACTTAGAAGGCTCGGTAAAGGGCCATAAGGATTTGTGGGTAAGAGTCATGGATTCGTCTAGAGTGTTTTGGAAGACCCAGTGGGCAGCAGATGCTGAATCATGGGAGAAGACAGGACAAGAAAGGAGCCCAGTGGTGTTGCCTCTGCTCTGGGATCAGCCTCCGTCAGGGCTGCGTTGGAGAGAACCGGAGGGGGGAGTAGGGGCAGAGAAGGGCGAGCTGAAGCTTTGGGAGACTGATTAGCTTTGCTATAAACAGGTTGAATTAGGGATGATTCAGACATGGGGAAGCCAGGAAGGAGACAGCTGGCTCTAGTGACTAGGCAGAAAATAATTTGTTGTTAGTATATAAATAAAAGCCTTGGCGTCCTTAGAAATCTTCTCTCGGGTAGTTTAAACGTTACTGTTAAAATATTGTTTCCCCTCTTTATTTACTTAGCTAGCCTCTTCTTTCCACAGATAATGCAAAACTAAATGTCAGCCCAGAGAATCATCATAGATCCCTGATGAGTAGAGACCATAATTAACGAGGTTTGTGGTGCCTAGTTCCAGTCTAAGTAAGTCCTGGCAAATGCTGAAAACCCACGGTCTTAATTCAGCAGTGTACATTGATGGGGCCTTATGTACCTTCCAGCACAAGGACAGAACTTTCTCCCAGAAGCCCTTGGGTCAGGCCAGGGGGCAGGGAAGGCACAGCAGGCCCAGGGCTCTGTCCCTGGGCTGTTCCTGTGTTCAGGCCTGCAGAGAACAAGGCCTGGGAACACAGAGTGGGAGTCGTGGGGAGACTGGTGGGCTGAGGAGAAGTAGCGACCAGCACAGTCAGCTAGGCATTGCCTTCATTGTCTGAGACACAGCCGCCTCCATCCCAGAGAAACAGAATAAACCTAGAACCACCCAGAGCCCTTGCGTGGGGGTTGCCGATTTTCTAGACTGACTTTCCTGAGAACTGTCGAATATTCATGAGCCAAGACCTACCATGTGTATTTGCTGGGAATGGCTGAAGCCCAGGGGACACCAGGAGTCCTTTATGAGTTAAAAGCTGCTGTCACCTTCTGCTGGAGGGTCCTGGGGACAGAATCTTCTAAAAGCTGTGTAGAGATGACCGAGCGTCCTGCTAGTGGTAGTTTTATAAAATAGAGGAGTTCGGGATTAAAGGGGAGCTAGAAATGATAGAGCACGTGTAATCGGATGTGCTTGTTCTACTGTATAGTTGTTCACTCTGTGAAAGCTGGATGTGAAAAGAGCATCTGAGGTCAGGCGCGTGTCGGGCCCCGGGTGAGTCTGTGTGACGGTGGCCCATTACCACATACCTGGGCTCCTCATGCTCCCATCCTCCTTCCCCGATCAGGCTGCTCAGGGAGAGCTATCTTAGCACTGCTTTTGAACAACGTGCAGCTTGTTCTGTTTTATTATGATTTCCAAGTCACTCCGTTTGCTCTGTATGAAGACAGGAAAACAAAACACAACCAAAGCAGGTGTAAGGAGAATGTGGGTCTCCATGGAATCCTCTCGGAGTCTGGAGTCACTGATGCTTCTGTCGGTGACTTCAGACGCAGCCTAGAGCTAGACAATACGAAACATATCGTCTGCAACTCCCCAGCCCCGTTTTCTGAAAACTTCCCTTTAAAAAGGCATTTTGCTGTTGCTGTTGCTTATAATGTACAAACAAAAAGAGATCATGGGGGAAATTTGGTTTCTTCCAGGACTTGATATGCTAATCAGGATTCAGTGTTAAATAAAGCGAGTTTGGAATCGTCTGCCTGGTCTTGATCCATTTCCCTTTCTCTGTGTTTTGCGTTCCTGTGGTACAGGAGGGGCGCGTCATGCTCTCTTCTGGAAGCTAAATGATGCCACAGACTCAGCTTGCCACGCTGCTCGCCATGTAGCAATGACCTCCTGCAAATAGTGGGCTTAAAAGATGTATCGAGTGTGTGAGAGAGACAGAGAGAAAGAGGGAGAGTGAGCGAGGCTTTCTACTAAGACTTCCCAAATGGAAGGAGACAGACAGACAGAGACAGGAGGTGAGAGAGACAGAGCTGACTTGGATTCTAACAAAGTGCTTTCTCCAGTCCTGCTTTCAAACACAGCAGATTCTTCTTTAAATTCAGACTAAGCCACAGATGAACGACAGGACATTAGGTGTTACTGGTTCTGTCTTGGTACAGCTTAGGGCCACTCTTTGATGAAATGTGTGTGTCCTGGACAGAGCTGCCAGGCACATGCGTCACCTTCTTTAATTCTGGAAGCAACTCACGGAGACAAAGGGAATACGCCCCACTTACAGGTGATCGGGGCAGGTAAAGGACCTTTTCTCCCAGCTTGACTGAGATAGAGTTGA